AAGCAGTATCAGTATCGATATCAGGAAATAATGAAATGCTAACAAAACCCATCTCCGACTCAAAGCACAAACACAAATGCAGCTCAAAATTAAATTCTCTGCATTGCATATAAAGAAAAAAAATTCCACTGAAATAAAGGGATGATGGCGCAACTGACATATGCACCTGTGCAAAGTGAATAAATGTGAAGGGCCTAGTGGGAGGGCCAAACACCCCTGTTCACACTGCAGCATAGACACAGTGAAAGCAGATAGGCTTGCGGATCACTGTATCAAATACCTGGATGTTCTGGGCTTCACTGGAAGACAATTAAAGCCTCAAAAAGGAATGCATGACCTTCTCCCAACTCATTTAATGAATGAACACCAGAGACACACTTAAACAGAGATACAATGTTCTCTTCTTCATCATCCCTCCACCCCTCATTCCAAAATGTCAGTGTTACCAATGGGTCAAATACCACAAACAAGCAAACAGGAGCATTTCTTCCTACCAGCAGGCAGCAACACATCAAGCAGAACCTAGTAAGACTTGTACTCCCACAATGCAATTCTCCAGGGAGTTGTGTAATCAAATGTGTTCAGTATTTCTTTAAAATTAGTGAACCATGTGTTTGCCGAATTGTCAGCCTGGCTGCATTCATTAAAATGTCCGATGTTGAGGACACAGCATGACTTTGTCGGTATGCAAACATTTAATTCGCCCGGTTAATAACGGGGTTTGGCGTGCTAACGTCTGCAGAAGGATCCTTCAGTAGTGGCTCTGTAAATGAACTTGCGCTGCCTCCGTGCGTCCTATTAGGACACTGCACACATTTGAGTCTACTGCAATATTATAAGTCGATGCTGTGCTTTAATGTATAAATATTTTATTGTGAATGTGTGCATGGTAAAAACCTGCGCTTACCTGCACGTTAACCCCAGCCCAAACAGCTCCGCCTGCCCAATTAGTTGGACCCAATTCGGTCTCCTCCTCCTCCTCTTCCTCTTCCATATTCTTCCTCGCCCTGTAGGAGATTTTGATTAGTCTGTTTATGCAGGCCCTGAACTCTTTTACTAAATTATCTAAAGAACTTGAATTTATAAGAGTTTGAGATTAAGAGTAGAGTGGCTGTACTCGCCGTACCAACACGCAGAGGCGGACTGTGCCAGGGGCGCACCAGGGCACATAAAGTCATGATGCATTTGTGGTCAAACAGTTCCAAATCTGGTTATGCTTACGATTGTTTTATTATTTGACGGATTTAAGATATAACCACTACATCACATTATGTTTTATCTACCATATCGGCATCTAAGAGGGCACTTCTACAGCTTTTTTTTTTAAATATAGGGGCACAGGTTAGTGTAGATGTGACTTATACACATTTTTTAACCAATAATATGTTGGCTTTAAAATCCTTTTCTTCTTGATATCTTGACTTAATTCACTGATGATCTAGTATTCCACTGCCACAGATCATAAGCCAGTCACACACAAAAAAAAACCATTGTGACCAAAATAGACTTCAAACTTGCTTTGAATAGGAGGCGTTGGGTGGAAGAGCAGCACAGACAGGAGCAAAATCACCTCTTCCCACACATACAAAGAGACACACACACACACATATTAGATGGTGGAAAGAGTGTGTGTTACAATACAAATAGAAACTCAGTGGCTGTGTTCACTAGTGTGTTTGCTTGCATGTACGTGTGTGATACTTAAGAGCACTCCAACTTCACACAGGTTGATGCCCTCAGGAAGTTTTATCACCAGTACATCCTTATTTATACTGACACACACACACACAC